TTATATAAAATTCTAGGAAGTTTACAGAGACAGAAATATAATTAATGATTCCCTAGTGCTGGGATGAGGGTAGGGTGGGGAGAGAGAGAGAGGCAAGAGGAAACTTTGGGGGTGATGGRTGTGTTTATTAACTTGATTGTGAAATTGTATGCCTTAAATGTGTGCAATTTATTGGACAGTAAAATGTACAGTTATCTCTGGGATCTGCAGGGGATGGGTTACAGGCAACTTCCCCAGGAAAACAAAATTCATGAATACACAAATCCTTCTATTAAATGGTGTAGTATTTGCATAGGTCCTAAGCACACCCCCCCAGCATACTTTAAATCATCKCTAGATTACTCATAGTGCCTCATACAAAATAAATGCTCTGTAAATAGTTGTATTGTTTAAGGAATCATGATAAGAAAAAAAGTATGCATGTTCAGTACAGACACAATTTCTTTCCAGATATTTTCAATCCATGATTGGTTGAATCTTCAGATTCAGAAACCAAGGAGATGAAGGGTCCACTGTATGTGGTGTGTGTATGTGTGCACACTTGCAAAAAAAAAAAAAAACAGGCAAAGGTAGCAAAAGACAGGAGAGGAAGAAGTTACAAGAAGGTGCAGGAGAGTAGAAAAGACAAGGAAATACCCAAAGATATGGTGTTAGACTCAGTACAGCCCAGAATGGGAGTCAAAGTCTGTTGGACTTAGCAGAGCTTCTCAGACCTCACTGTGCACAGGTGCTGGGGAACTTGCTCACAGGCAGATTCCGCCTCAGTAGGGCTGTGAGGGGCCTGAGATTCTGCATTTCTCACAAGCTCCAGACAATGCTGCTTCTAGTCTTTTGACCATTCCTTGAACCTTGGGGATCTAAAACATTCTGTTCAATTTGGCCTCATGAAAATCACTCMGGAGTTAAAAAACAAAATGATAAAATCCTCATGTCCTCAATCTCATCCCACTTCAGACATTCTGATCTGTTTAATCTAAAGTTCAGTCTGGGGAATCAAGAATATTTAAATCTCCCCAGATGGTTCTAATGTGCAGCCCAAGGTGTGTGAACCACTGTATATATATATATATATCAAACCAGGAGGACAGAACCCCCAAAAGGTAATAGAGCTAGCAGATGAGCTAAGTCAGTTCAGTATAACAAATCACTCCTGCAGTCAGAGCCAAGGTGGACTCTTTCCAAATATGCAAATATACCTGAGTATGATTTATACCCACACAGTCATAACTTTGTTAAAGATGCTTGTCTATACACACACCAGGCCTGGGAATAAATACCACACTAATGACTAAGTAGGTAGGTGGGGACCAAGGCCTTCCTGTGACCATACCCCCCAGGAAGAAAAGGCCATGACCTGAACTAAGCTGACCAGGGCACACACTCCTACCAACACATCCACAAGGATTTTTTATGATAAGGAGACCACTTATGGCCTCCCTCCTCCTCCAACCTGATGGACCACAAACCAGGCGTGACAATCAAGACTGCTGTCTTCTGATGTGTCCCATATTTGTTGTTTGGTTTTTTAAAAAATCTCCTTCCATTCAGCTAGTTTTCTATTGATGCTAATAGGTTGGAAATTCTTTTCTGATCTGCCTTACAGATTGGTATCTGCATAATAGAATTCTKCTTCTGAAACTACTGATGCACCAGAATCCTAAAATGTTTAATGAGACTTGTCAATTTAATTGTGCTGCTTGGAACCTACCGAGAGAGAGACAGAAAGAGAGAGAGTTTGTCAGCATTTTGCTGACAAATGTCATCATCTCYAGACTGATCTCTGCTACTGATTATTTTCACTATGGCTAAAAATATTGGGAAATGAGATGTGCTTTAGTGAAACAATAGGCATTTTTTCTTCATTAGGTAGATTACATTGCAGTTTGGTAACAAAATCAACTTGGGAGTATTTGAAAGCAGTCTGGTTTGGTAATGGTCCTTGTRTTCAATTTCTGATGCAGAGGATGCTGTCTATCTGGACAATGAGAAAGAAAGAGAAGAATATGTCCTGAATGACATCGGGGTCATTTTTTACGGAGACTTCAATGAYATCAAGAGTAGAAGCTGGAGCTATGGTCAGGTGAGCCGCTTAAAATTTGTCATTGTCAGGGCATTTTTAGTGAATATATTTTTTTTGTCACATACATTACTGCAGGGTGCCATACATCGATATYAGACAGGTACAATTTCCTGCTTTTCAGGATCTAAGACTCCAAGATTGAAGGCATTGGAGTAGAGACTTATAAAGACAACTGCATAATTTATCAGCTGAAACCACATATCTTCCTCTGATGACAAATGTTACAGAGATCAGAGATTCTGTGGATGTCATGGCTCCAATTGAGAAATACTTTGCATCTTAGTATAATGAAATCTCATTAAGTCAACCTAGAATGGATTGAAAACCTCATTTTCTTATTTTTTTTAAAAAAGGTGTTTTGATAACAATGCAAAGAACACTGCAAGGTGTGTGTCTGACTAAAAGAAAAACTTTAAAAAATTATTAGTCTGAGATGYCACTAATTAAAAAAGAGTATTAGCATTTTTATCAAGGAAGGGCCAYTGGACTTTTACATAGACACATGTTATCAGCTGCAACCTCAAGTTACTGTCTAGATATAAAATAGCAAATGGTATTTCCTTAAGATATTCAAGAATTCAAACTTTCAATTTGGTGTCTTTAACAATGGTGCAGATGAATAATATTTTGCCACATTTCCATACACGAATGCCTGGTCTATGATTCAAAATGCTTTTTTTGTTTGTTGTTGTTAGCACTACAGGAAAAGGTGAATGTATAATTTCTCAGAGATTCCTGGCTGAGATGACTGTAACTGTGCATTATTTTTCTGAGTATCCAGAAAACCTTGGAATCTCAGAGATTCCACAGAACCTGACTACAACAAGTCACATGATACATTCATAACTTCTGGTGCCTTGCTTTGACCTCCATATGGGATTTCCATATGTCTTTCACCCTCAGCCCCAGGCTGACCATTGGGACTCATGTCATGAACTCTTATTGCCACCAGCCAGCTTTGTGACAAGCTTCACCCTAACTCCTGAGAATGCTSTATCTAGTGTCCAGGCTTGCCCACCTATGTTTCTGATATCCTGCCAAGCTATGATTTATGTTTGCTTGCCTTGKTTTTAGATTCTTTCCTGGCTCCCCAGTTAAAAGCCCTCTCCTTCCTCAGAGACATCGCCTTTGACTACTGTCTGTTGTCCAGTGCCTTTATGYTAGATCCCCATTTTCTAGCCATAAGGTGATGTCTTAGTCTGTTTTCTGTTGCTATAACAGAATACCTGAGGCTGAGACTTTATAAAGGAAAAAAAATCTATTTAGCTCATGGTTTTGGAAGCTGAGAGTCCCAGGTTGGAAAGCCCCATCTGTTCAGCCTCTGGAAGGTCCCCCAAGGCTGTATCACAAGATGATGGAGAAACAAAAGGAACTAGCCATGTACATGGCGTGGGCTTGCTTTATAACCTGTTCTCACAAAAACTAACTCACTTGTGAGACAGTTTATGGCCCTAACTTGACTCTCTTCAGATAGCTAATGGGGGGAAAGTTATGAAGGTAAGTAGAAAGGAAAATAAGGAGACAGGGTCAGGGTGCTCCTAGCCAGCATGCCTTCAGGTAGGCACCCTTGATCTCAGGCCCTATGGCTACCATCATTCAAAAGAGACCATTAGTTTAAGTTTTCAGCCAAAATAATCAGCCATACCTGTTGCTTGCAGAGATTCAGGGAATAGTGAACTCTGTAAATAGTTCTTTAACTCAAGAGCCGCTAGCATGTTCACAAACACAACGGAGATGTGTGGCTTACGAGAACCAGAATAATGAGTTCTTTATTTATTTATATAGCTGAAAAACTGGTGGAAATACAGATTACTGCACCCAGTGCATCAGTTTGAGGTACCCCCAGAGTTGATATTCTAACCAGATTTAGTACAGAAGGAGTTGGTAATGAGCCAGAAAGATGGTKGTCTCTGTCACCAGTACTCAGGTCGGTGACATGCAAGGTTCCTGTATTTAAAGTTGTCTCCTCTCGCTGTGTCCTACAGTATAGGCAGAGACTCCCCATCTGGCCAGCTTATTATTATTTAGCCTTTATTCCTCTCAAAGACAATGCTGGTGTCCCTGTGGCCAGCATTCCTTCTAAGGAAGCTGAATTGGCTCATGGGCTCTGCCCACAATAATGCTATCTCCCTGCTCTAAGCCTAAGATATTATCTAAGTGAAACTCCCTTGGCCCTGAGGTCATCAAAGGGGTACCGTAGAGGACAATTGCTATGTGCAGCCTCCTTCTATTGGGGGTGTAAGCTAAGTGGGCCTGAAGTACCTTTCTGTGACACACCTTAGAGCCACTTATTTTCAAGACACATAAGAACTCGTGTTACTTCCAAGGTCAAAAGACTTCCGAGTGACTCTGTCAATCAGTCCTTCCTTCACCTGCAGTCATATCTTGGATAGCTCTTTTAAATTAACTTGTACAATTTTTCAAAGAATTTCGAGTCAGCTCAYGACCCTTGGACACATCTGCTCTCTAGTAGTTCTTTTGTATTTCTAGCGTCCTTTGATGTTCCTCTGTACGTCACTGGAAAAAAATTTTTATAAAGAACTTCTTTCTTCCACTTTAGCAGTTCATACTAAACATTCTGGGAGATCACTGTGTAGAAAATACACATTTTTTTAGGCACTAAGTTGTGATTTTATTTATTTTTATTTTCT